CGAGGTGCGGGCGCAACACCAAGGGTTGCGATCCCGTTGCCGGTCCTGGTCCGGTGCGGGTGCGACACTGAGGGTTGCGATCCGTTGCCGGGCACAAAAAAAAACAAAAAGGAAAAAAAAAAAAAACCTCTCCACTCAGAGGGCTATACCAATCACTATCAATAATAATAATCATGCTTTATTTGGGGGATGTTTAGGTTTATAGACTTCTTGCCCCTGCCACTGTAAAACTGTGTAATAACTTCTGTTTTCTTCATTGCTCTGCAATAGCTGCTGGGATCATAGGGACTGATTTTTGTATTCATGAAATAACTGAGTAATTATCTAGCCCAGTGGTTCTCAGACTTGAGCATGCTTTAGAATCACCTACAGGGCTTGTTACAACAGACAACTGGGCCCCATCCCCAGAGTTTCTGATTCACTAAGCCTGGGGTGGAGCTTGAGAATTTGTGTTTCTAGCAAGCTCTCAGGTGATGTTGACACTGCTGGTCCAAGGACCATACTTTGAGAATTGCTGGTCTAAGAGGACAAAGTTCCTGGAGCCGAAGAACAATTCCCTTGATTCAGGACCATGAAGACCTGTGGGTAAAGAATGTGTTAAATATTTCCATTAAGAAAAACACACACCCAGCGTATTGAAAAGACTCTGGGATTTGCACCTACACAGCTTTGCATGGAGTCTATACCCTTAGCTGTATATATAAGACCTTGAAAAGGGACTTATTCCCCAGAAGCACAGCTTCCCCATCTGTAAAGCAGGAGTGCACTTGCTATCTCACGGGAGACTGTCAGGAACAATGGAGAAAAAAATGTAAAGTTGCTTAGCATAGTACCTGGCTCATGGTGGGAGCCCTGTAACCAACAGGTTTATTTCCTCTACTGAAAAAGGCTGCAAAGGCCCAGATGCTGCAACTCCTAGCAGAAGAAATCAGGTTGAGACCACAGTGGACTAACAGCTTCAACTATACTCCTTAACAGGACCAGGCTAGTGGGGAGATAAGAGTGTGCTGGGGATGAGCTGAGGGGTGGTGCCAGTATAAAGACTGTGAGCTCTCCAAGGAAAGAACTGCTTTCAGGGCAGTGTGATGGGGCAGGCTCCAAGAAGGACAAATGGCCAATCATGCCACCATGGTAGGCTTCTGGAAAGTAGGGCTCTTTCCCAGCACCTCACATAGCATCTGGAGGTGGAAGGCAATTGACTAAGGTTTAGTAGGCGGCACTAATCAATCAGTAGGTAACCAGGTGGAGATATGGATGGAGCAATTTTTCCCTTGCTCTGTTCACTCTCCATCTTGTATCTCTAAACTTTGTCTCTTTTCCCGTGCCCGCCACCTGGTCCTTGAGTTTAAAATCTCTGTACCCTGCTTCCCAAACTATAACACACAAAACACTAGTTCCAGGAGATGTTAATGTGCATTCCACAAAAACAAAAGGTTAGGGGATCTATGGTCAAATAGTTTCAGAATCCCTAAATGCCATGTTTCCCCTCATGAAAATTTACAGCATATTATAAGCATATTAGAGAGGTGTGAAGTTCTCTTCTAAACATTTAAGCATATTTGGAAGAGCTTTTGACTCAACACCAGTAAGGTAAAAGCTATTTCTCCCAATTCAAATAACCATGTGCCTCTCTGTTAAGCCCCTTCTTTCTTTTCATTTATTGCTGCTAATCAGCTGGGACTATAGCTGTGTTATAGTTGGTTGCAAAGAAAAAGTTAAAAGGCTCTGAATGAAGATGAGTGTTTCTTCTCAGGTTTCATGGCAGCTTTTTCTGAGGCTCAGAAGATCATATTAAGGACCAGAATGTTAACTCTTCCAGACCATTGCGGCCCCTGGAAGTATAACCTCTAATAAATGATATTTCCCAATGTTACTTCCACCACATCATGACATTTTATCTTTATGACCTTGTAAAATAGGTAGGGTAAAAAATTATTAGCCCTGTCCTTAGTTTGGAAAACGGAGACACACAGTGATAATGGACAATTGAGGCACGACAAGAATCGGGTCTCAGCAGGGTCCCTGATGTAATGGGTAGAACATAGTAAGAAAGAAGCTCTACTCACCTGGCTGTGCCCCATGGCCACCACCTTCTTCTCCAGATCCAGGGTCTGCAGGAGCTCCTCCACAGCCTGGAGAGAAGATAAGAGAGAAGCTATAGGAGAAGTTAGATAGAAGGTAGGAGATCCTAAAGTGGAAGGTGAGCCTGGCCGAATGGCTGATGCACGGAGAAAGAAGACAAACCCACATGTCTGTGAGCTTTGGCTACCACAGCCCCAACTCACACAGGCAAGTGCAGAAGACACGCATGCACTGAGCACTTACTGTGTGCCATCTACTCTACTGAGACCTTCACAGACATCAATTTGTTCCATCCTCATAACAACCCTAGGTGGGTCATCATAATACCATACCCATTTAACAGAGGAGAAAACTGAAGATATAAAATGAAATGAAGGACACAGCTGCTATGGAAAACAATATGGTGATTCCTCAGAAGATTAAACATAGATTTACCATATGATCCATCTATTCTTCCTCTAGGTATATACCCCAAGGAATTAAAAGTAGGGTCTCAAAGTAATATTTATGCAGCCATGTTCATAACAGCATTATTCAAAAATGGCCAAGAAGTGGAAACAACCCAAGTGTCCAGCAATGAATGAATGGATAAACAGAATGTGGTACATCCATACAATGGAATATTATTCAGCCTTAGAAATGAAGGAAATGCTGATTCATGTTACAATGTGGATAAATCTTGAGGACATTATGCTAAGTAAAATAAGCCAGTCACAAAAGGACAAATACCATATGATCCCATTTATATCAGGTACTTAGAGTAGCCAAATTCATAAGAGATAGGAAGTAGATTGGTGGTGGCCAGGGCTGAGAGCAGGGGAAATGGGGAGTTAGTATTTAATGGGTATTGCAAGAGGAAAAGATTTATGGGGATGATAGGTGGTGATAATTTCACCACATTGTGAATGTACTTAATGCCACTGAACTGTTCACTTAAGGTTATGATGGCAAATTGTATGTTATGTATATTTTAATGCACACACACACACATACACACACACACACACGCACACAACGCTAAATGAAGATAATTCTCCAAGCTTACAACACATAGGGCAGAGCCAGATTCCAGTGAAGGTCTGTCTGGCCACACTGCAACATCAATGTCTTGAACTGCTCTACATGCCTAGGATGGCTCCAGAGGACCCAAGGGCACTGAGAAATTCACTCACTGTGTCACTAAGTGCCCCCGTGACAGCCTTCCAGCACTTTGTGCTTCTCTCATTGTACTTGCTAGTGACTGCCTCACTCACAAATATTTGCTAAATAAATGACATGGCCATTAACCTTGCCTGCCTGTCTGACCTAGATTACGGCAGAGAAAGCCTGTGTTTAACTCAACTCCTATTTCCTCTACTGCACTAAAGCACTGTTCTATGTATATAGTAGATCAATAACTATTGATGACTGAATGAATAAACACCCAAACAAGAGAGATCTAATGGGGAGGAAAAGCAGCCCCATGCAGGAGAAACAAACTCACTCAAAGAGATTTCTGGATGCAGTATAGACCAAATTACCAGCCGTTTAATAGACTCTTTCTCTTGTCAAATAGTCATGCAGGCTCTGAAACAACCTTGCCAGAGATTTGTACCTTCAGATAAATAGAGGTCATGCCTGGTTCCTTTGTGACTGCCAATTTCCCTCTCCCTCCACCCTCATAACCACTCCTCATTGGCCGTCCATTCACTGAAAACCAGAAAATCTATTTCCAGAATAAACTGTCAGAAAAGTAACCACAACACTCAAGAAGCCAAGGGTATTATGAGACTGGAGTCATTGAGTAGATGAGTTTTAATTCCACGGGTCAATGGCAACACAGAAAACTTCCTAAGAAATTAAAAAAACATTTTGTTGCTTACTGAAAGTCTAGTCCCAGACTTCAATCAGGGAGGAAGCTTTATCTTATGACCTCCTAGAAGAACATTTTATAAAACCCCTCCAAAATTTTGTGGTTTTACTTATTATATTTTAGCCAAAAGTGTTCTAAGGGAGCTGTAGGTGGCAGAAATGCATAAAACCAATATATCCAAAATATAATTTCTTTTCTCTCTGCCCAAGAAGAAAACAATAAAAATTGGCTGAAAGTAAAATGGATGGATTTCAAAAATGAAATATATGCCCAATGAAATTTTTCTGAGTCTACCTTGGAGGTAAAGTTTAGGGTAGATGTTTGGGGAAAAAAATATCAGGATCTACCATTAGATCCACCTGCGTTCAGATCTTGATTTTATCACTCATAAATTTTGTGATCTTGAGTATTAACAGTCAATTCTGTACCCCACAAATATGTATAATCAATTATGAAAATAAAATAAATTTTGTGATCTTGGGCAAGCATGTTACCCTGAGCCTCAGACTCCTTTTGGAAAGATGGGGAACATAATAACACCTGTTTCAGAAGTTCTGAGGTTGTGATTTTGCAGGGCTTTCCATGGTACCTGGCATACATAAGAACTCAATAAAGGTCAGGAGCTATTCCACTCCCAAGCCACCTCTGTTTTGGCCAAAACCTGGTGGAGGGACTGTGGAACATGGATGAAGACTTCATTTTCTTAAATACACCCCAGATAGTGCCAAAGCACACACTCAAACACCACAATAACTAGGGATTTTTCTTCACCACCTTGTTTTCTTAGAACCCTTTAGATGTCTATGTAGCCAAGAATACTAGCCCTAACAAAGGTATTCTGTTCGGTTGACCTCATTTTACAGATAAGAAAGCTTAGATTCAAATGGTAGAGTGACTGGGTGAGTGTGGACATTGAGCTATAATTCTGACCCCTTCCTCACCTGTAAAGTGGTGACAATATTCCCTGCCTGGACAACAGAGCTGTTGGCAGGATTAGTTGAGAATATATGAAAAGGAATTTGTTAATGACTTTCCACTTAATTGCTTTTATTGTTATCCTCATTGATGCTATTATTGGGTTGAACAATATGAAGTTGTCATCTGTTGGGTCAAATATCAATTATTTTATCTAGTTCAACATAATATAGTCATTGTCCAACGGCCAGTTGGTGGAAAAGACAAGAATCCCGGTTACTAAGAGAAATGTCTTCCTCGTTCCACTACTTGATGGAATCAGCTCTTCCATGTATTGGAATTGTCCAGGTAATTGAGGCTTATCCCTCTCAGCAAGGAATGTCACTGTTATGAGTAAAATGTTGGCCATCGTGCTCCAAGGAAGCACAGTTTTCAGTCTGTTTTTGAGTCTGAGCACTGCTCTACATGCTGTACACATAATAATTCATTTTGTCTTCAAATTTCTGTAGCAGGTGCTACTTCATCCTCATTTTACAGGGAAATAAAGTGAGGCCCAGTGCAATGAAATGCCTTGGCAAAGGTCACGTGTCTAGCAAGTGATGGTGGGAGACTCAGACTCAAGTAATCAACTCTCGAGCTTGTTCTTCAACCTCCAGTGCTGGGATCCAGTCCAGTCTCACCACTCACTAGCTGTGTGGCCCTGAGCAAACCACTCCTCTCTGTTCTTCAGTTTCTTTTTCTATAATATTCACTAATCACACTTGTCTTACAAGGATGTGGGGATGAGGTCATAAAAGCAGCATGAGAGAGCTTAATGAACCTTCTCCCCTCCCCCCCAAATAATAAAAGTGAATAAAATTTCCAAAAATAGCAACTTCAATCCTCTGGAAATAAAACAAAGGAATACAACAAATTGAGAAGCATTTATTCAAGAAATAATGAATCTCGGGTAGAAACAATGAGAGTTGGTGGTAATATTGATGAAGGCTCTCCCATTCCCACCCCTGTCCCCTTCCTCCCCCCTAGCTCTGTCACTGCAGCAATCCTACCAGAATTAGGCAAGCTGTAGAAACCAGCAGCTTTGCTGCCAGAAGAGCAAGGTATAGAAAACCCGCACACCCTGGAGCATTGTTGGAAACAGTAGTAATTTTGGCAGCAAACAAATAGAGAAGGCCAATGACACAGCTAAGCCTACAGCTGTGCTAATGGAGGCAAGCAATGGACCACGGAGAAGCCAGAAATTTAACAAGGAGATAAAGGAAATGGGACAGCCATAGAGGGCTTGATAAGTTCCCACATGTTCCTGGCTCAAGGCTAAACACAAGAACAAGAGAGATTGGAGATGGTCCTAGCTATCTACATATCCCTATTTGAGAATGAAGACCTGTGCACAGGGAGAAAATATGTTGAATGTTCCAACAGAAAATAAAAGCTGGAGCACAACTGTAAACTGCCTGGTTGTTGAATACATTTCCCAACCCATTCACAGATCTGTCAGAAGAATGGAAAAGCCTCACAGATTCACAATGGTTGATTACATCCTCTGCTGGCCACTAAGCTCTGCTGACACAGGGAAAGCCCTGGGAAGCCAGGCTTTGAAATAAACACAAAAATTTTTTAAAAATTGGGCAGAGATATTAGTGGTCCCACACCATGGGGGAGACAGATTCCATAAAACTAGTCAAGACAAATTGCTAAATAATTAACAAAAATCAGAATCTAGAGTTGCTGTAATATATTATCTGAGATGTCCAGTTTTCAGTAAGAATTACAGGACATGCAAAATCTGGAAATTATGAACTATACTTGGGGGGAAGCAGTCAGTAGGAAATATCTATGGACTCAAAATTTGGACTTAGCAGACAAAGGCTTCAAAGCAGCTGTTATAAATATGTTCAAAAAAGCTAAAGGAGGGCCGGCCCGGTGGCGCACTGCTGCAGTGCACCGCTTGGGAGTGTGGCGGTGCTCCCGCCGAGGGTTCGGATCCCACATACAGACCAGTTCCCGCTCACTGGCTGAGCGAGGGGTGGGCGCAGCACAAGGGTTGCTATCCCGTTGCCGGTCCCGGTCCGGTACGGGTGCGACACTGAGGGTTGCGGTCCGTTGCCGGACACGAAAAAAGACAAAAAAGGAAAAAAAAAAAAAAGCTAAAGGAAATCATGTGTAATGAATTAAAAGACATTATAATAATAACAATTCATCAAATATAAAATATCAAGAAAGAGATAGAAATTATTTTTAAAATCCAAGTGGAAATTCTTCATTTGAAAAGAAAAATAACTG